CTTCACGATAATCTGGATGTTCTCCCTGTTTTAACCAATCCAGCAAAACCATCAACCTGTTACCTGATGGATGTGGTGTTTCCTCTTTTCCTGTCCCTTTTGGGAGCTCCAGGCTGTGTTCCCATGGCCTTTCATAGCAGAAAATGGTCATGGAGGGAGGATGCTGCTTTCCTTAAATCCTCCCTGATCCAAACCTGTTCCATTGCCATTTTATCAGATCAGTGCAGCAGGCAGAGCACAGGGAGTGACCCCAAAGCAGGTAAGAGATCCTGGCTGGTTTTGTGCCCAAATATCACAAGAAAAAAAAGGTTGACGTCAGACGTGTGTTCCTTTTCAGGGAAGAAAAGGACATCAGGAAGTTCCCTAATCCTTGCTGCGTTGCCAGATGATGGAAACGTGAAAGCTGCCAGAAAGAACAGAGATCAAAAGCGTAAGCACTCAATTTTTTTTGGGGGGGGGAATAAAACTAACTATCCCATGGAAAAAAAAAAAAACCCAACCAAAAAAAAGCCCTGCAGTTCAGTGTTGTATCTGACTTCTTAAAATACTTCTTGAAATACTCTCTTAGTCAGTTTGTGGTGRTGGTTTTTTTGAGTTCTTTCAAGTGTCTCCTTTGAAGCTGTACTGGGATRTGTGAGACAATTCACACCAGGGGAGCCCAGGCTGAGCAGCCAGAGAACACAGCTCAGGASGGTTTTTCCTCACCACTCTGAAGATTTTTATTTTTTTTAAATTTTTTTTTTTAACTAGGTACATTCCTAATCAATCTGGGAAACGATACAGAAAGATCACAATATGTTCTTACAGGAATGTGTTCCCAAGAACATGTTGTGCTCATGTAATTCATTACTGCTGCAAACTATTTAGAAATTGAGCTTTCCTGCAGCGTTATTCATGCAGCCTGAGGGGTTCAGGAGCTCTGCAGAGGGTTCCAGGTCATCCCTTCTGCCTCACAGGGGCTTGGGAATGGAGAGTTGGATCTCCCAAGCAGTTTGGGCATGCAGGGCTGAGGACACAAAAGGAAAATGTTGTTTGATCATGGTTTAGCCCAGCAGATCTCAGTCCAATGGGTGGATCCTTCATCTCCCCTCCTCTGGCTTGCTGCCTGGTCAGAAAACCCCYGAAAATCCACCTCCATTTCCACCAGGAGATTCCCGAGGCATCAGAACATCCCTTCTGCTGATGTTCCTGGCTGGACCGACCGTCAGTGCCCTCAGGGGAGCTGGAGGCAGAGAAATCCATAAAGACAAGGTTTGCTATCTTTCTCCCCACTCCTCTATCCTGCTGATTTCTAAGTGTGGCAAAAAGGCCTGGTTTAATTACCTCTCTCTTGCTGATGAACTTCACCAAGCACAAACTTAACAAGAAAAAAAAAAACCTATCCAGAGTGATGTTCACAGCATCTAAGAGAGCTACAAACCCAGGCAGCTGCATGACTAATTTACCCCGTGTCATTAATTATCTCTTATCTCACTGGAGAGAACGGGATTGCTATTCCTGCACTGAGTTCTCCTAATATCTCCTGTTAACGAAGGAACAGCTCAGGACTGAGGGAGTCAAGCAAAGAGCAAGGCCAGTAGCAGAGGAGGCTCAGGGCGTGCCCAGGGATCACACTCAGCCCAGGTAATAAATCTCTGGGGGCTGTTCAAGGGCGTTGGGGAACAATTGGCAATTTCCTGGGGCTCTCTGCTCCTCACAGGGTCAGAGGTTGGGGTTCTGTGTGTGATAAAGGGGAAAAACACAACCTAAACACCAGTGGGCAGGGAGAGGCCATTTCTCCAGGAGCTTTGCTGGGCGGGATGCCCGTGGAAGGGCTGTGTTTGTTCCYAAATTCTTTTAACCCCACTTCTCTCAGCTGTGCTGAAAAATTCACCATCCTGGTGCCAAAGCAGAAGACGAGGAGAGAAGGTGACATTTAACCTCGCAGAATGGACAGAAAAAGGGCTGGAGAGGCTCAGTGCAGAGGGGCCGGTTCTGGAAATGTTGTTTTTGGGGTTTTTAGCACTGCTGGAAGCTCTGAGCCTGTGAGAATCCTTGCAGGGTGTGTGACCTCAGTGTGGCTGTGATTTATTGACTCCACTCTTCATGGAAGGACTGAGGGAAGTCCCTCAACCCCTGCCCAGTGTGCTCTGGGAGGGGAAAGACCCTGCACATCCCACCCTTTCCATGCCAGGAGTGGGATCCTGGGCAGTGGGTGGGGTGAACCCTCTGTTTTGGGGTGAACCCTCTGTTTTGGGGTGAACCCTCTGTTTTGGGGTGAACCCTCTGTTTTGGGGCTGGCAGGCAGTTCCCACAAGCAGCAACCCAACATCTGTCAGCCACTTCAGCTGCAGCTCATCAGAATTTAATTTTTGCCTTTGTTCTCTGCCTTTTATCCTCTGATGACTGTGCAGGCCACCCAAACCAGAGGAGATCCCTGGCTCTGCAGAGTCTCACCCAGCAGAACAACATCAGGGCCAAGAAATGCTGCCCCAATTTCTAGGGAAAAGGGCAGTAGAACTTCTCTGAAGGTTTATTTAAATGTAGCTGTTTGTTTTTGCTGGAGATTGAGTTACCTTCCCTTAGAGCAGTGATGTTTTTGGAATCCTCCTCGTTTCGCCTGTAATAAATCACAGTTGTCTGAGGGAAATGAGTGRGGGATCTTTGTCATTTTTCTTTTTTCCTCCACTGGCGAGCGAAGGAAGCGCCACGAGAAGAATGATTGGTTGTGAATTTATTTGTGACAGTGCTGGCCAGCCCTGGGCAGGCTGGCTGAGGGAATTKCTGCAGGAATCACTGCCCCATCCCCGGGCAGGAGCAGCACAAAGGCTCAGCTCTGGTTCYGATTGCGGGCTGGCAGCGTTCTGCTATCGGCCAGCACACACAACAAAGGCCAGCACAAGAAAGGCTGGCAGAGCTGCAGGGAGGGGACCCGGCTCCTGTGGTGACTCCAAGCCCTGCTTTGTCCCAGCAGCCCCAAAATGGAGTTTTCTGCCCAGTTTTGTGGCTCTGTTCCCCAGCACGGGCAGGCAGTGATGCTGATGGCACCCAGGGCTCTTCAATTCTTTAATTCTCTCAATCTGGGCTGAGGAACAGCACAGTGACCTCGGGGAACAGGAGGCTGATGGGGGACACTGAGACTTCAAAGAAATTAAAAAGTGGCTGACTCTTCTCACACCCTTCCCCCCTTTCTATTTTCTTTTCTATTTTTTTACTTTTTTTTTTTTTTTTTTTTTTTTTTT